TCATGGAACACATACTGCTGTTGACAGTCACCCACCCACAACTGTTACCAGAGAAAGTGGTTTTGAGAGTGATTTCAGAAAAAAACATGTCTTCTAACAACACCTGGTATCAGCCGTTTATCCTCCTCCCCACCTCATTCTATGAGAAAACACATTTACTGAGGTTAGAGTTAGGAAGATTGAAAATTTTGTTCTTTGAATCTACCACCCAAATCTCATTTGCACTGCTTGAGGCATTCTCAGGCAATAAAACACATTGTTGCAAAATGTTGTTCTTACAGGGCTCAATCACTACAGTATCTAAGCACCTTTCAGAATGGCATTAGGCAATGTAATTAGCATCTGTCCTACCTGTGCTGCTGTCTCTCATGGGTACATCTATACACACTTCTCTTGTGTAAATCTACACACTTATCTTCATCTAGGTAGGACAAGCATAATTACAGAGCTAAAACTTGTCCCTCTCCAACACTGATGCTTTAAGTCTAAAATAAGTACCCACTAAGCTCTTGCTCTCAGTAAATTGAGGACAATAAAAATTCATGTTATGTTTCTATGCACAAGCTTAATCAAATCCTTTTGGCTGAGATACTGTGTTTGTTTAGGAGCAAATGATGACACTGATTACATCAGGGCTGCATTGATTAAAGGGTATTTGATCAGCAAGGTAGATCAGGAAAGCATTGCAAAATAACAGTGATAGAAACTCAAATGAAGCAGAAATATTAATGCAAAGAAGGCCACAATGGATTTTTAATAAAGAAAACATCACAGGAAAGCTGATACTATCTAGAACAAAAAGAAGATTTTAAGTATGATTTCTGTGCATAAGCTGGTTAAGATGTCTTAGGGTTATTCCTCAATAAGATTCAGGTTTTCTGTCTCCTTAATTTCCATCATTAGCTCCAATAAAGCTTAACAATTTGTATTTTTGATTTGAGAAATAGTGCTTTAGATTTAGCTGGTAATCAACAGCAAACACACCCACATTAATGTATCAGAGTAACTGCTACTTGCAGAGTACTTTTGGTAAACATAAGGTCCTGGAAAGAGACCTTTTGTCAAATTAGTAGCTAATGGAGACATTTCTCTATGCCATGGTTAGGAGACACCCTCCTAGTCTTCAAAGGAAATGCATCCATGAGATGTCATAATGTGCAGAGCTTTGCTGCTTTTACTGGCTCTACATGGGTGTGCAGGGCAAGCCCACAGGGAACATAATACATGATCAAAGACTTGGATTGTGTACAAAGATTTAAAGGCAGTCAATGGATAAGCACGAAAAGCAGCATGAAAACATGCTTTTCACAAGTACACAGGCATGTGAAAAATATTGTACTTCTTTGTCTGATAACTGTTACGCCCCAAGGTGAAGAGCACACAAAGGACTACCCAGAGATGCCAAGAAAGATGTACCCATTAGGACAGGAAGGCCTTTACAATATACAGAGCCTGTAAATGGTTTAATTTTCTTAAGGAAGACACTGTAGTTTTCAACCTAGACTGATAGACCCATCGACTCTCAAAGGAACTCATCTCTGGGGCGACAAAAAAATTGTTAGTACAGGAAAACAAACTTGGGGAATTGATAAGAGACAAAATATTTTTTTTTTCAGTTGAACAAAGTAAAAAAGCTTGATGGTTATTTTAAAATGCTTCTGTACAATGACCAGGTATCACATGCAAAACTCTCTCCAAGCAAGTGTTTTTCTCACTTTATATTAGTTAGTTACACTGCATTGGGCATTTTGAAAGATAGCAGGCTGGAAAAAGGGGGAAAAACAGACACGGATGTCTAAAGAGCAGAGAGGAAAGTCTGGAAAAGCTACCCCTGAGAGTAATCATCAAAAGAATGGAAATGCAAATACATGTATTTTCAAACATACGTTTAGGTACCAGCTCTGTTGGTGCTGTAACATCTGCTTCTCTGTAACACACTGTTGGATCCACAATGTCAGTGCCAGGAGGAGGGTAAGGTGGGGGTGGGGGGATCACTAACTGGGGGGGACCACGAGTGGTGCCCCTAGGAGGCTTTTGTGGCACCTGCCGTCCAACACCTACAGGGGGATCAATTGACCTGTTACTTCATTGCAAGATAATGATCACTCTGTTCATTTTTATTTTTTAAAAACACATTGATTTTCCCTTACCCACATCCAAAGGCTCTCTGGGTATAGTTCTGCTCTTATTTACATCCAAATAATTAAGGGAGAAGGAAAAGGTGTGTCTTAACCAACAGCAGTGGGACCAGAATTGAGCCCAACACATAGACATACATTATAACTACCAGTTAAAATCACTGGTTTTGGCAGGCATAAGGATGAAGAAAAATAGCTGAGCAAACTAAAAAAAAAAAAATTGAAAAAAGCTGTGTAAGAAAATGTGAAAAATGTGTTTTATTTTATCTTCTGAAGTGTCAAAATGCCTGAATTTGTTGACCTCTCAGATACTTTATGTGACTATTTTCCTGACTCTGAGAGAAAGAGGAAGATGCCTTGGGTCACTATTTTGAAGTAGGTATCTTACAGACTTTTCTGCTCTTCTTTTTGAGTCAGTTTTCATTATTTTGACATTTTAGAAGCAGATGATTAAACTGTATTTTGCAAAAGAGTGTTTGAAGCTATCAAAGGAAATGCCCATAACTTTTTCTGGGGGATTATTTCAACACTATGTACAATAACTAAAGAAATACATGTGTCTTTGCACTGTACTCTGCGAACCACTTTCAATGCAGAAAAGCTGCTGCCAGTTTGTAGTGTACAGAACTTGAGCTACTGTTATTTGGAAAGTCCTTAGAGGTTGAAAGTGCACTGAGGAACCACGACTACCTGCTTGCTCTGCTTTCATACCCTGCCTGAAGCATGTGCTGTGGTCATTGCTGAAGATGGATGCTTGCAGAGACAGATGTTTGGTCTGATCCATTCCTACACTCTCTGGCTTGTGCTTTGGGGCTGCTGAGAAGGGAAGCAGAACCAAGGCAAAGAAAAAAGATTAAACCATTATGATTTTTTACTTAGCAGTCACTAGCTTCCAGAAGAGTATCTTCCAGAGACACAATTTAGTGCTGGCAAATGTGCAAGCCCTTTTTTACTGCTTTGAGGAAATTTGGCGCAATTCTTTGGCGTCATAATAACATAGTATTGAACACTATGGGGAATTTGCCAGTTTGAGAATATTTTTTGATAGGATCTTTTGCTTTGATTCACATGGCTAACTTGAGAGGTACACAGGTATCTTTAATACTTTTTTTCCATCATGTGGCTCACTATTTCTTGCAGCACGTTTTTTCCCCTCACAAGAGTCTTGCTTTTTTCACAGCTTTTCTCTCATGCTTTCAGAGCCATCTGTGCTTTCTCATTGTTTTCCTGCAAGGGCCCTGAAGAGAGGCTGTTTTACCAACCCTCTCCGGCTCTAACATTTTTTCTTGTTAATGAACACATTCATTCAAGAAAGTAGCAGAAAACAAAAAGCACTGAAGACAGGGCTACTGTGGGACGAGTTCTTTGTCAGTGTAAAATAATAAGGCTCCATTAAAGCAAACGATACTACAGAATCCTACATGAGCAGAGCACTCCAACAAGCACTTATGTACACAGTACTGAACAGACTAGAAGTAGCTCTACTCTGCTATATCTCATCTGCAACATTTGAGCACCAATACAAAAGAAATAGAACACTTATAAAAAGTTAAAGCAACAAATGTCATCAAAAAGTGACCAGTAGTAGGGCAAAGTGTGAGAAGCGGTAGTGTGACCTCTGTAGTGATTAAAAGTAAGCCAATTTGCTGAAAACTCCTGTGTTATATGGTCCAGCAATAACACTGCCCTTAGAGAGTTTAAATAAGAGATGTCAATGGAGTTGAATATGTCACATGATAATGGACTCCTGCTGCTACATAAATGCTGAGGCATTAAATGTGAAGCATTTACTGAAAATAAATGTTGGAACAAAGCCAAGAGGTTTCTTACTAAACTGTGAGGCATTTGTAATGTAAGCAATTATGTATGACAGAATGTCATATCTGTATGTCTTAGGCATTTTATGAAACATGAGGTCAAAGGCATGAACTGAAGTGCACTGAGTGCATTACGGCACTTGAAGAATGATTCTCTTAATGCACTGAAAAATGAATTCCAATATGTGGGGTCATTATCTCATAACTTGACCCATTATAAAATCACTTTACTTGCTAGAAGCATAATCCTGGTGTCCTCACTCAAGCAAAGCTCTGACCAATCTGAACAAACTACCAGGCAGATAACAACAGAGGTTTGGGAGAATGTTTTTCAGTTTTCCTGTGTGAGTAAATGTGGTGCCACATGCAGCTGAAGCTACAGTTTCTTTTGTTGATTCTAGGTACGTATGGCATTCCTTTGAGAGCATCAGTTCTTTTCTTCTATGGATTAGCTAAAGAATCATCAGATATTGATTTATAATAAAAGTGAGAATGAAATTAAAAAAACCCCTTTACTTTATATGGGCAGTTGATGTCAGACTGTTGGAGGATTACATGAAAATCAAATGTCTTCAGGGTTTAGAAACATGAGGAAACACTGAACCAAGCTGACTGCACTTTGGTCCTAGCAGAACTTTATGGCTTCAGATTCATTCCATTTTGCCTGGCCTATCTCCATTTATTAGCATTTCCATTTACTATTTCTGTATTTCCATTTACTAGCAAACCAATCATGACCTTCAAGGCACAGAATAGGCCCAGGGCTAGCGCTTTTGGATATAAAGTTTGTGCCAAATATTCAAATCATCTGATGAGTGTTATCTACATTTTACTACCCTGTGATACTCTGAATGGTGCCATTGAAAAAAAGAAGAGGCAATATAAAAACACTTATTTCCAGACTTTCATTCTGCAGAGAAATGTAGTTTTTCCCCAAGTTACAAAAGTTTTCAAACTCACAGCATAACAGAATTAAGGCAACTTCAAACAGTGAGCATTGAAAACACATGAATAGGGTTATTCAGGAGAAAAGAACACTTCTCACCCATTGTGCTCTTCCTCTTGTCTTCCCTGTCTTCTGTCCTGTTTGGTATGGCAGGAGTGGGTGGAGCAGATGCAGCTGGTGGAAGAGGGGCACGCCTCTTCTTTTTCCTTAAATCATTCAAGGATGCTCCTTGTGATATCTAACAGAGTTGAAAAATAAGCACAGTAAAGGATATATTTTGTTGATGTTGAAAATTTTCAGTAACTAAAAAAAAAAAAGTGTTTGCCATATGACCTAATTTTTCAGCACAGTATATTTATAATGAGCAATTATAGTGACAACCAGAGATTAAAGAATTACAGAATTATTGCACTCAGAAAAGGAAAGAGACGAGAACTGCTGATGAGTGTCACAGCAGAAATACCACACTGGTAGGTTTTGGAAAAAGTGAACTAGGGAGCCCAACACTCAGCAGAGCAAAGTATGTGTGTTGTTAAGCTTGAGCCATAACAAGATCTTTTTCCATTGGTTTCCTCAAACCTTAAATTATGGTTAAATACTCCAATTGGCATGTATAGTGAATAAAGTCTTTCTCATTTCTTTTATTCCCGTCTGAAATTCTTGTTAAAGGATTTTTGAGAGAAGAATCTGAATTGCCTGTTTGTTTGCATGATGATATGAGATCAGACTGTGCTCTATTCATGCCTACTGGACTTCACAGACCTGCTTTTGAAGATCTGTAACACCTTGGCTTCCAATAATTGCAACATGCTGGTTGCTATGCCAAGACTTCATTACTGTGTATGCTCCTTTTAAAAACACGAAAAGTGTTATTACAAATGACTTGGGTTTCATTGGGCTGCATAATATTTTCTGTAGCTTGCTGGAACTTAGCTCTACTTCCTTTTTCTGGAAAAATAATAATAATAAAACCATGTAGGGAAATCTGTGGAATTTTTATATTTGAAAGGTACTGACAACACCAGTTAGTACCAGGCTTTGATGAGGTAGAGAGTAATGGTGGCTGCCCACATATAACATGCTGCTGGTATTCCACCAAAGAAGTCTTCAGTTCTTTGATTTAACTGCTGTCTATCCCAATACTTCTGTACCTAATATACAAAACTGCAGTGGTTTTCTACTATTTCAAAGGCCTAACTAATAAAAATAACAACAATCATATTAATAATATTTCCTTTAATCCAGAGGATTAATGGACCCTTAAAATACAATTGTTGTGGGAGATTTCATTAAACAATTAGTAGCTTCACACTGCTTAAATCTACCACCAGACTTCAGAGGAAAGGCACTCATTTACAGGTTTCCTTTCCTACGTTAAGTAAAAAAATCTGAGAATGAATGAATTTTACAAAGATTAGGATATGAAAAGAGTGTCCATCACTTAGCCTTTCTTTTTAAAAGACCAGGAGGGTCTTACATTTTAAAAAAAGAACCCTTTTGTTCCCACCTTTGAGGATTATGCTTTAACCACCATGCCACATGACAATTGGATACTCTCCACCCCTTGGGGAACCTGCATCCTGCATGGGAGAAACTTGGTAGTAACTTACATTGGACATGGAGCACAGCAACCAGGATGAGCTGCAGGTTCACACCAAACAAGGGTCGGAAAGGAAGGTGTCCTGGCCCTAATGCCTACTATGATGGATTATGTCACCATTTTATATTGAATTTCCACCAGATACAGTACATGACTAAAGCCAGTGAGGCAAATCTAGACAAAGTTAGGCATGGTAAATGGGCAATAATGTTAGGAGTAACTAGCAACTTTGTGGACTTAAACTTTGGTCACCAAATTTAATAGAATTTAAAAAACATTGGACTTATACCCAGAAAAGAGCACCACACCAAGTTGTCGAAATAGATACAGCAAAATTTCAGAGCTCCACTGAAAAACTTCTGCCCAATGTTACAGTGTTGCTCCATATTAAGATGGAACATTCACCTGACAAAGGAACTGCTTGTACTGATTAGGAGCTAACCACAATTGACTGAAGTTGAAACAGAATGCTCAATATTGAGCTGAACATGGGAAACTCCATTCAGTGAAATAGACTCATCAGGTTTTTGAGGGGAATAACACCAAGGACAGCCACCTAATGCTGCAGTCTTCTCCATTGAAGAAATTAGCAAAGACACACTTTGAAAAAAAAAATCCCATTCTTTGCCCCTGCATTTAAAAAAGCTAACAGCATGTAGGCACTTAATACTGTATCTTGGTTCTGCAGGATACACTACCTTACAGGAAAAAAAAAGAAAGAAAATTAATAAAGTGGTGATTTTGATTACTACAAAGACTGCAAAATTCAGTAACTATGGAGAAATTGAATCATCTGGGAGACAGGCACCATCTGAACTTTCCCAAAACTTCAAAACTTCACAAGTACAAGCTTGACTTTTGCAGCTGTTTAGCAGCATATTGCAGCTTCCACCTTCACTCCTCCCTCTCCAGACAGAAAAGTAATTTTATTTTAGGACAAAAACTGGTTGGAAATGATAAAGCTAGGAAATCTTGACAATCAAGGCAGAAAGTAAGGAAATGTGTCTTCCCACTTAAAATGTTAGAGATCACTAATCACCCTTCTCCAAGTACCGGAGGAGTGAAGGATGTTAGCTTGGTATATTCAAATCCCACAAAGACACATAATTGCTTTCCTATGAAGAAAGGATCCTTGTTAGAAGTCAGATTATCCTTTTCAGCTCAATGTATTCTTACTTAGTCACATCTTCTGAGGAACATTAGATACATGTATGGATGATCATGCTGCTGCAGTTAAAGAACAGGCTAGGAAAGAGCTAGTGCATGACTGCAATAATGAAAGTTTGGTGAAATACACACACAAAAATGCTTTTATTTTACTGTCAGCTAAGTGCAGTATTCTTCACAAACACCATAAAGAAGATGAAAAGCTTGTTTAAAGCCAGTCATGCTACAAAGTATATAAGAAGTATCTAGTTCATGACCAGGTCACAAAAATTGTAAAAAGTATCCATTCTTTAATCCCAATTTCGTAAACCTATGAGGCTAAACATAAATGGAAGAAACACAAAGAACATTCTGTTTCTTTCTTCCAATTGTATATACAAAACCAATAGAACTCGAAAATAATTTGTTATGGCTGGCTGCTTCTTTTAGAAAGAAATCAAGCCTTAGCAACATTATTTGCAGTAATTTCCCATTGAAACTTTGTAAGAGGAGCCCCTCTCTGAGCCTAACAGAATATGTCCTAGTCTTAGCACTTGTGTTCCGCCTATATTTATCAACAAGAAATTATTAGATCAGCCCCTGTCACAAAAAATACATAATTTGAAAAGATGTTAATTAAATTCTGACTATAATTAATACCATGAACTGAGCTAGAATAAAAGAGGTCAAAAGGACCCAAATCTGAAAAATAGCCCAGTTTCTCTTCCCCTATTGACAAGATAACATAGAATAATGAAAATAAAACAAAAACAAAACAAAACAAAATCATCACATTCAGGGCTCACATGCTCTTTAAAAAATACTTCCAACATTGCGCACTAAATATCTGAGCAACATGCTGAATGTGTTTTCCTACTGTGAAAGCTCAACACATTTAACAAAATTTGAGGGCTCTAGATAAGATTTGAGAATATATTTAGAGCAAAACAACAACATCATGGGGAGGTTAATTGTCAAAATTGTGCAGAAAAGAATCCTACAAGGCCAATCCTTGAAATTTTCAATCAGTAGCATTTCAGTCACCCCACTTGCAAACAATCTGTGGACACTGTAAGAGTGCATGTGTAAACTGAATTAAAGATTCTTTATGTGTAACAACCCAGTACTTTCTTTGGGTTAGGTTGCAATGAATATGAAATAATGAAACTTATTAAAGGAGGCCCAAGGTAACAAAAGTCACCACTACTGAAAATTCATCTTAGCATTCAAAGACAAGGAGGTTCTCAGATAGAATTCCAGTGTGAGCTCCACACCTTTGCCGTGCCTGTCCTCTATTTACAGGCCAGACACTGGTTTTGTATTTGTCAGCCCTTCCTTTTAAACTTTCTAACAGAAATGTTGATTTATAAAAGTACTAAGTCATCTGGTCAATGCCAACTTTCTGTAATCCACAGACCCAACTAGGCCCAAATTCACTGAAGGTTTATGGCTCCTAAAACCGAGCCTCCTTCTGTAAGCCAGAAAGTGCACCATTAATTTGCATAGTTTGTGTTTCAAAATCCAAGCCAGTCTTTCCAGTATTTTTTATAAACATTGCAAGAAATATTTGTCTTATGGCAACAGATTTTTCCTTTTACTATCACTCCCATCATTTTGCCATAGAAAGGGAAAATTCTTGAAAACCTAAGCATTGTCCAGTCTCGATATTTAATAAAATTCTCCTTAAAGAAATTTTCTTCCTGATCAAAAAACATAGCTACAGATTATGCAGAGGTATCAGCAGCAGAATCATGTCAGGAATAAGGATTGCTTTTAAGGGATGTTAGATTATTGTTGAGCAAATAAATAATTCTATAGCATGAGATATAAACTGTGTAAAGAAAGTCCAGTTACTCTCTTGCCTCTTTCTCCTTTGTATGCAATGTTACACATCAGGACCTTTTATCGTTTTATAGAGGAATTGGCTAATTTGTATACAAATTGTCGGAATCATGGAAACAGTGAATGACTGCAGAAATTATTTTTAGAAGTAAAGAAAAAGAACTGGAAAAAGGACACATGGATTTAATCACCAGCATACTCTCATTACAAAGTGGTTCCATCATCCACACTGACCAGACACACACGCTGATTTAAGTGTGCCAGATTCTGATACACCTGCTGGCCATGGTATTGTGTGGGGTCAGAGTGCCCATTGAATTTCAAAAATGTTTAAATGCAACCCAAAGAGAACAAAAAAACCCCCAGAGCTAAGCTGTAAATGAACAAAAAACAGTATCATCCCAAATTGTGTGGGACCATCTCAAACCTCTTTCCCTGCAAAAAAATTTAGGAAATCTTCAAATAATTAAGAGCCATTTTACAAGAATTCTAAAAGAAAAAAACAGATGCATGTTTCATTAATTGGCTTTAAACTCTTTATATAACTGCACTAATCCTTTATAATATTCTATGAAAGACAAGTGGTAGATTGGTATGTAAGATTTATGGGTTTAGATTGAAAGACATATTACTATGACATAACTTTAAGG